ATTGATGGTCAATAAGAGAGGTTTATGCATATGAATTTATTGAACTGCTTTAGCTTATAATCAAGCAGCCTTTATATATATATATATATATATATATATATATATATATATATATATATATATATATATATATATATATATATATATTAAAATTGAGTTTCCTTATTGAAAATTGGACATGATACGCTGTTGTAAAAATCAAGTTTTTAACAATGTCTATCTAATGTTTTTAATATGCTTATAAGTCAAACCATGCATAGATTCATCAGGATACACCACTGCGGTATATTTCCTCTGGAAAACTGCAGTCTAATTAAGACTCATCTTTTATTTCTAACAGATTTCCCTGGTGTTGAGCACTGTAGCCAATCACAGTCTTATCTGATGATAACTTGAAGTCAATGACCAATCAGAGCTTTTTAAATGTGTTACGTCAGTTTAAAGTATGTACAGATGTGTATGTACAGAGTTGGGTTTAATGTGTTCCACAAAAACATGTAACTGTGCTCTAATGACAATTTTGGGGAACAGTAATGTAACAAATTAGATTTTCTTTGTATAATTTGATTACAGTTACTAAAGTCAATGCAATTGTGTTACTTACGTAACAAATATAGTTTTTCAGAAAAAAAAATGCTTTTTTAAGTCATGTTTTCAGCTGCAATGTCAGTTAATAAGCATGTGGTTTTAAAATGTTGGAGAAAGTGAGCTGAAACGCTTGCTGTCGAGAGTGGTTCCTCAAGTGGAAATACAGACATTAATTTCATTGAGCATAAAAACTAAAATATTGCTGTGAAATGCAAAGCATGCACTGTCTATGTCCAGTCTCTAAAGAACTTTCAACTGCTTTTAACTCGACCAGCATCTTGTTCAAGCACTTGAACATAAAGCATCCTACGACAATACTTGTCAACATAGAGGATATCGCCACCCAAAAACATGGCAGCCCAACTCAGCCTAAACAGGCTAAATTGGATTTTTGGATCCAAGGATCGGAAGTAAAGGTATCTTCTGAATGTTATGAGAAATGTAACTGCTAATCTTTTGCACACACAAGTTTGTTATTTCCAATGGAGGCACGGCGCATATTAGGAGCACATATTACGAGTGCTCGCATTTTCCAGAAGCCCCTAGATGAAAACCGCGAGTCACATGACAAGAACTGGCTGTTCAGTTTCATACTTTGTATGGAGTATACACATTTCGGTAGACTAATTACCTCAGACAAACACAGAACACCCAAACACTGCAGTGCTTTTTCATGCTGTGGATGTTAGTGGTTACAGGTATCCAGTTTTCTTCTAAATGTCTTCTTTTGTGTACAAGAAAAAAAAAACAAGTGAATGATGAGAACTATCTCTTTAAGTCTTTTCAATATGTCAAGCTGCTGTGATCAACTCTTGGTTTTCATTGAATATAAAACTACTAAAAGAGCTAAAGTTTATTTTGGATTTTTATAGGTTTAATATGTTTTCATTACAAAGTAAAGTAATTAGTAATCTGATTACTTTTTTACATTAAGAAAGTAGTAATGTAATCAGATTACAATTTCCAGTAGTAGTCAGTAATTTGTAATCTATTACTTTTTTAAGTTACTTACCCAACACTGAGTAGTTACATGTGAAACATTTAGATTGTTGATACTTCATACTTTTTATAAACATTACATAAACTGAGTATTAACTTGGCACTCTCCCTAATGCTGAATTCTGACTACATCATTTTAGTCCCGATTTTGACTCGCCAAAAGGTTTTAAGAAATCATAGACAAATGCCTGAAATCACAGGCAAATTGATGCCTGTTCATGCGAGTGAAAAATCAAACAGTGTGTACTATAGAAGACACGATCTGAGAGAATCGCCGATGAGTCGATTCAAATCATGCCGTTAAAAATGTGTTCTGATTGAAAATAACATTGGCGATTACCTACAGTCAATGAGAGAGCAACATCGACTAGTAGGGCTATCTTCATGACAGCGGGAGGATGAAGTTAAGAGTTAAAAGTGCTTCTTTTCAGTCTTTTTGGACTCTCAATATGGAGGAAAAACTAGTGAAAATTTGTCAGGAGCTCTCGAGTGGTGTAGTTAAAAACCAAAGATATAGAACGTGACCTCGCGTTGTTTTCATGTCACTTCTTGCGTGTGTTTGGTTGAAAGAGAAGTAGTGTGAGGACAGACAAAGTTGTCGGCGATTCTTTCTATTGTAAAGTCATTCAGTGTGAAACCCCCTGTCACTGATCCATCTTGCAGTGTAAACTAAGCAGTGACAAAACGCTAGCCCAGATAGTCATGCAGTGTGAAAACATCCGTGACAAAACTTCTTAGAAAATCATGCAGTGAACTCAGCATAACCTTAACCCGTGCAAGTGTACTGTATGCATGCAAAATATGTATACATACTCTAGAATACAGCCAAACTATATACCCCTGTGACCTTTTATCAAAATAACTTTGTCCCTTCTCTTTTATTAAGTGTTTAATGGCATGAGGGCAGTGTCAACCAATAGCAAACCACAACATTCCAAGCATACAATCAACTCCCAACAAACTAAAAGAAGCTCCCTTTTCTCTTCTCTTTAAAGATACAGATATGCTGTATATTACAATTCCATTTCATGCGATCTTTAAATGAATGCTGCGATATCAGGACTCTTTGACACATTGCTTGAAAGTCATTATTATTATTATGTACCATTCTGACTTGAAACCCATATATTAGCATCTAAAACTCTTATTACAGACCCCTTTCTGTTGAAAAAAAGGAATATAAATACTCCTCTCTGCTGGAGTCCTTACAGCAGGTAATAATTAGCACAGCACCACAACAGCTGGAGTTTCCCCTTTCACTTCTCTCTCTCTCTTTTGTCTCTCTGTTGTGCACACACACACACACACACACACACACACACAGGATCAGAGGCCAGGTGGGCACTGGATGGCAGGTGCTTCTGTTCCTTGTGTTCTGATTGGCTATGACAGCTCTCAGACGACACACAGCTGCCAAATTGTCTGCAAGCTTTATCCTGACCAACACACACACACACACCCCTGCCACATACCCATGAACACAACAAAGTGTCTGTCGCACAGTGATAAGTACATGCAGTTACATGCATACATGAGCAGCTTCAAATATGACTATTTTTAAATTAATTTCTCAGTGTATATGGACAATATATATTGACATGTTTACAAAACAGTTTTTGTAAATGTTAACATCCAATAAAAAATCCAGATCTGCCAAATATTCAACTAAACTAAATGTTTCAGATAAGGATGTCCAGATATGATTGCGTGAATGGAAATCGGGCTTGATTACGCGGTTTCAGACTCGATCAGAATCAGATCCCAATCGGATTCCCAATCAGGACTTGTGTGTGTGTGTGTATATATATATATATGGGCGACGTAGTGGTGCAGTAAGTAGGGCTGTCGCCTCACAGCAAGAAGGTCGCTGGTTCAAGTCTCGGCTGGGTCAGTTGACGTTTGTGTGGAGTTTGCATGTTCTCCCTGCGTTCGTGTGGGTTTCCTCCAGGTGCTCTGGTTTCCCCCACAGTCCAAAGACATGCGGTAAAGGTGAATTGGATAAGCTAAATTTTCGGTAATACACTGGTCTCACAGTTCGGTTTGGTTACGATTATCATGCTATTGATTCAGTTCGATTTGATATCTCGGTGCATCACGGTGCATTAACGATACTTTGTTAACTGATTTGTTGAATAATAAAATAAGGTGAATTAAATAAAAGACAAAAAACATTCTCTGTTTCTTCTCTCTACTTTATTTTTTATGTATAATAGGAGTATCAGATAAGGTTTTCTGTATCGGTAGATACTCAAAATCAAATGACTCGAACTCAAACTCGAAGGCAAAAAAACCTGACCAGGACATCCCTAGTTTCAAATAGGTTTCTTGATTTCTCCCAATTTGAAAATTGTATTTTAAATTTTCGCCTAATACCTTCATTGTTTTCTGCTGATTTTTAAAGCACAATAATAAGTTACTTTGATCATTTTAGTTGCAGTTTTGGCTTTGGTAAGACAAATCTCATGTAAAACCAATAGACCAGATTTGCTGTGATCTGTAAGTCCACAGAGACCAAAAAAAAAAAGAAAAAAAACAATGCAGCACAAATACATACACAAATATCTGATTCCCAGAAAGTACAAAGCAAAAATAATGTGTCCTTGTAGAGCACATAAATCACAAGCGTACAGCCTGGTGAACAGGGCTGTGTGTGATCAAATAATGCTGATGCAATGAGTACCGGCAGTCTGGTCTCAATGTACGACTGAATCAAAGAGCACAGGGACACGATCCCTCTCGACACATACATACAGTATGCTGGGTCTCGTGTTTTCATGGTAAATTTCTGAATGATTCACATGTGTGTATGAATACAAATGTTGATCCTTTTTAAACCCAAAAGCATAAATATGGGTGCTTGGGACAACAGATTAATTTGCATAGTGCATGCCCAAACATCTCCACAATAACAGCATTAGCAATAAGAAACATCTTGCTAGCATGCAAGCAATCAACTGCATGTCAGATCAAGCTATAACAGAATATTATTAGGTAATATTTTAGTAATATAACATAATATAATATAATATAATATAATATAATATAATATAATATAATATAATATAATATAATATTAAATAATATAATATTAAGTAATATAATATAATATAATATAATATAATATAATATAATATAATATAATATAATATAATATAATATAATATAATATAATATAATATAATATAATATAATATAATATTTCTGTGATATAAGTTTATGTTATTTAAGGTTTTATATTTGGTCAGAATTAAATAAATAAAAATATTATATACTAGTAACCACAAGAAAGATTTTACACGCAGGATTTTTACGCACACACACAGCTAGAGAATAAGACCTGCTAACAGTGGCGATAGACGCACAAGCATCACTGCGTGCTGACATGCAAGAGTGTGTGTGTTGTGTGAGAGCACCTGTCATAATCTCCATTGCAGAGCGCTCTGACAGGAATGGTGAACGGCTGCCAGATGGGGTTCAGTGTGTTCTTCACCACCTCCGTTTTATGGCAGATAGTGAACCTAAGGAATAAAAACACAAATGTGTCAATCTCAAACAAAGCAGTATGCATTGCATTATTATACTGCATTCAGGAAGTTGGAAGACTGCCTGCCCTAATTAAAAAAAAAAAAGCTAGTGTTAAAAGCTAGTGTGCTCCAAAACTAAGATAAAAATGTACATTTAGAAGACTTATAGTTACAATTAGTTACAGTTTTTCACATCATTTTTATTTTATTTAGGTAAGGTAGTTGGCAAACAAAGATATTTTTGGTTGTTATTTTTGGCCTGTTCTACCAATGAAGCTATATCCTGGGGTCCGTTCTTTGTACCTCGCTTAAATGATCTAAGATGATTTGGCAGATCCTGGATCTGTTAATCTTGATAACTGATCTCTGGCTAATTTGGTTTGGCTAATTTGACTAACAAGTTTGCAAATCAGATTAAAATATCTGGATGAACTGGTCTGAGATGGCTGTGTGTGTTATGAAGGACAGATCTATCGATCTTCGAAATTATGATCAGCAATGCAACGATTGGCTGACGGCACAGCAGCGTAATGACATCCTTAATCTTTAATCTTCATTAAATCATTAATCTTCAATTATTCATGTAAGCAAAATTACATCAAATTAGCAGTAAACGGTTTGTTAAATATGACACGCAATAACTTTTCATATTTGTTGTGAGCAGCAGGTTTTACACTTTCATGTGTCAAGAGGATTGATCATGTATTTTCATGCAAATCAATATATTTAGGTCTACATTTAGAGAAAATTGTCTTTATTTTAGTAGCCTAGGCCTACTCAAGTTTTTTAATCGGTATAAGGAATAACTGTATGAATAATTTTTGCATCAAAAAAGCATTTTGATATCAGTAAAGGTGTCTGCAACTTTTGCAAAGCATTAATTCACCAGCATATTAGCAGTCAAAACACGTGCATGACTGCAAAAATTATTATTCTTTTGTTTATAAAAGTCGAATATTGTGCATGAACGCGTTTGTATCTAAAAAGTTCATATTAATCAATTTTCACTTTTAACCACCAGGTGGAAGACTTGATACTTTGTTCAGAGTGCAGATTGCATAAGTTTTATTAATATATATTTTTTATATTTATATAGTTAAAAAATATATATTTACTATTTTTCCAAGTGCCTATAACTACTACTATAAGAAAATATCAGCATTTGGTACATACTTTCAGCATTATCTTTGCTTGAACTGACCCGATCTAATGCTGTTTATATGAAATGAACCTGCTCACAAGCAGGTTTGAGCTACCAGAACAGTTGCTATGACAAAAACTCTCAGATGAGTTTTGAAGAACGAAACGATCCTGGACCGTGTCAAATCGTCAATATCCAAAACCAGCTAATTGAGTAATCCACGTACGAAAAATGGACCCCTTATCTCATGTAAATAAACAAGCTTGATAAATTCAATATCTCTCTGGTGCGGCTCTCTTTTCGTTTCTGTTGTGATTGACTCCTAGACGGTCAAAACAGCCAATAAGAATCAATAGTTTTTTTACATCACAGAGCATTTGAAATTCTCATTAACCAATCTGTCTAACCAATCAAACACTCTCTTGTATCTGAATCGCCCCACCGCCTACAAGAAGCAACTGAAATCAGTCACTTATTCACATTTAACCAAGTGTTCATACCAAGGGTTTATCAAAACACTTGAAAATCTAAAAATATAATACACGGTAGTTATTACAGTGTTAATATTAAATACTCCACATTTATTAGACACAGTAACACACATGGTCTGCTCTCAACTAATAATCTAAGTTGTGCAGACCACAAACAGTTCAGACTAACTTGAATTCATAAAGGATTATACAGACAACAGTTTGTGAAACTCATTCAAATCTGCATTAGCTCAACAAATCTGAGCTGAGATATAAACACAATGCCATTAGCAGTGCTTCCAGCACATAGACTTTGCTTGGGCGGGCCACCAACATACAATATATTATCAGACCCCCAAGCATATTCAGTGACTTTCTTTTACTATTATTATTATCCTTTTACACTTTTTTGTAACTGCCCAATATAACCAAATATCCGCGATCGATTAAGTATAGGAAAATCTTCTCTTATTTACTCATTTCATTCTGCATGTGCATGAACTCTCAACACTCCCACAAATAATCTCACATGCTCTGTAGACCCACAGAGATGCGCCTTTTTGGGAGTTAAAAAAGTTATTCAGCCAGGGTTTTTTCCAGAGTTCATTTCAAGTGTGCTATTTTATTAATCAATATTAATAATAAATATTGTTAAAATAAAAACATATTTTGTTTGTCGCATCCAGTATAGTTAACTATTTAAGTGATGTGGGTAAATGATTTGTTTTAATCCAGCCACCACCGCAAGTATATTTCAAACCTGTTTGGAAGCACTGGCCATTGGTCATTTTAAAAAATGGAGAGGAGCTTCTGTCTTCATGTCTCAGATGAAATCACGTAACGTCACACATCAAATAAAGCTACATGTTCCACGGCACTTCAGGGGACGTTTGACAGGATTTTACTTGCTAGAACTATTTCCTTGGACATTTCTAAGTCTTTCCATTGACATTACTTTTAGGAAGAAGACGACGTGTCGTTTCCTTGTACAAGCTTCGCTGTCAGAGTAGGTGAGAGTGAAAGAGACAGAGAGAGCTAACTCACGTTCCGTCCTCATTACTTCTGTAGAACACCATGAACGGGTCAGAGCGGCCGAAAAAGTCTTTCTTATCCAGCTTATTGGCACAGAACTGCATTGTGGCACAGTCCTGTGAAAAAGAGAGAGAATGAACAACTGAAAGAAAGCACAAGTGGGATTAGGAAGAAAAACAGAATGTAAAAGATAGAAAGGGTGCAGAGAGCGGCTAAATCGAGTGAAATCAGAGGCACATTGCTTTTTCTTGTGCAGCACAGATAAATGATTCAGGGCCCTCAGGCGCAATTTACCCCTCACTGTGTCTATACAGCATAACCGCATGTGCACACAGACATTTTTTAAGTCATGTACTCTAGACACCTGCATTCATGCTACATTTATCTTTAGGATTTCTGGTGGAAAAGGGTTTAAAAGTAAGAGAAGGGCCTATTTTTTTCAAATAACTCAAAATCACACGCTAATGAATGATTCATCACATAAATACCACTGACCCAGACTCAGTTTTAGAAAAATATGCCTGACCCTTCTTCAATCAGATTATTTAATACATTTTATCATGGTAATCTATTACAAATTATTTTCATTTTTTAGATAAATCTGAAATTAAATGAAAAACTATTGCTTGAAAATCACACACTCACTCACTTTCATCAGCTTATTCGGTTCTTTACCAGTGGGTTGCAACAGTGGAATGACCCGCCAACTACTCTGGCATGTCTTAATAGAGGATGAGTGCAATGCCCAATACTAGGAAACATTGCATGATAATATTAAACAAATACTAATTTGAACTAGAATTGTACATCTCTTAAAGAAAATGGGAGTGGGGTTTGCCATGACAAATCTCTGGAGTACAGTGCATTATCGCACAGCCCAAAAGCAATGGAGTGCTAAGAACTGGCCAAATATGTGTTGATGTAGTTGCTAGGGTATTTTAAATGGTTGCTAGTCTTAATGCAGTTTAAAGGTGAAAACAAAAAAAAATTTGAACAGCCTGAATAAATAAAAAAAGGTGGTATAAGGGGTTGCTAGGGAGTGTGTACAAATTTGTAATGTCACTACTAGTGGTGGGCCGTTATCAGTGTTACCATGCTGCGTCAACGCAAGACTCTTATCGCGCAATAAAAAATGTTGCTGGTAATCTATTCTATTCTATGGTTTGTAAGCTGGGTCTATTCTACACAAGCTATGGTGACTTTCACTTGATATTTTAGCTTGGATGTATACCTGACCGATGAGCCGTCTGACAAAAAAGTGCCTTTCTGAATTAAATCAGTTGAATGCCTGACTTTAACTGAAGTTGGGCAGTTTCACTTTAACTCATGAACATTTCATTCATTCCATCGTATTAGACGCAATTAGGAGTAATGACTATAGAGAGTGTTAATGAATTAAATAATGCATGCCAAATGGAAAGAAAAAAACTTGTGTGTGTACGCGCACATGCAGTCCTTTACTAACAGCCGTGTGTGTGGATCCTGTTGGAAAATATGGCGAAAAGTTCTACATAATGGTAATAGTTTGATTCAATAATGCCACTATTAGGTGATCAAAAATTGCTGTTTTTAGCTTATGTAGGACTACAGTTCAAAATTCATGTTTAACTGAATAAAAGTTAGTAAACACAAGTACATCTTATTAAACATAATTTATTTTCATCACCAATTATCATAACAGAACAGTTTCTCAAGCAGTTTCTGATGCATTTTGGAAACAGGACATGAGCCCCCGGTCTAATGTGTCACCTGGCTTCAGAAACCTGTTCTTAAAGACTTATTATTTGGGTAGCACACATATTATGAATGCCTTCGGCAGAATTTACATGAGCCATTTTAATTCAATTCAATTAAATTCAGCTTTATTTATATAGTGCTTTTACAATGTCGATTGTGTCAAAGCAGCTACACATAAATGGTCATAGTAACTGGATCAGGGTAGTTCAGTTTTTAGTGTTTAAGTTCAGTTCAGTTTAGCTCAGTTCAGTGTGGTTTAAAATCATTACTGAGAGTCCAAACACTGAAGAGCAAATTCATCGATGCGTAGCTCTACCGATCCTGAACCATGCAAGCCAGTGGCGACAGCGGAGAGGGGAAAAAACTTTACCGATAGGAGAGTGAAGAAAAAAAAGAAAAAAAACCCTTTCTAATCTAGATTAATCTATTTAATTCCGAGATTGATCTAAATTAATCTAGATTAAAAAAAAATCTATGCCCACCTATAGTCACTATACCTAATACTAATTTTATGGCCGTGTCAAATGAGCCAACTTTAAGCTTCTATGTCACCATTATGTAAATATCTGATGTCAGACAATTTGTGCCAATGTTAAGTCTATGGGGATTTTTGGATGTCAGCCATTTTGTGCCAATGATAAGTCTCTGGAGAGATTTTGGGTTGTATTCTTGCTTGAGCCTGTTTACCCCTCTCCCCTACATGCTAGTCATGTTAGCATCATGCTAACAACTTGCTAATTGAGTTATTACTATGATGCTAACATTATTCATGCTTACAAATGCTTATCGACCTGCTAGCATTATTAGCATGCAGTTAACATAATGCTAATAGTGTTAGTCACCTAACGGCAAACCCCACTAATCATTGAACTAGAACTACAAGAACTACAAGAACTACCCCTAGACTGAAAATCTCGGTTGTGACCATATTTGGAATGGTCATGATTATTATGTGCTCTGCTCTAAAGCTACACAGCTTGTATAAGTGCTTGATGCTCACACACACAACATGATTTTGCATTCTCACGAGAAAATGTAATGACATGAAATATTCCCTGTGTCGTTGCATTACATGAGAGCTCTGTAACGCTGGTCTCATTTTCAAAATAAGAGTCCCACATACCAAGTAAGCATAACAGGCCAATCAAGCTGCCCGTGACGTTCATATTAACATGGATTTGGTGTTTTGTTACACTTGGTCTGTCTTTTACCAGTTTTTTTCATGACAATAAGGGAACAACATTGTTTGCAACTCTCAGTATGCTATTTGTATACACAGGACTCTAATTATTCAGGTAAATTATCTGCAGATTATCATTCTATGGCATCTTTAAGTACTAAAATGACAATGTAATGTAATGTGTGTATTTATGTAGCACATTTATTGTGTATACACCCAAAGCGCTTCACAATCATGGGGGCGGGGGTCTCTCCACACCACTACCAGTGTGCAGCATCCACCTGGATGATGTGATGTCAGCCATAGGAAAACGGTGCTCACCACACACCAGCTATAGGGGGAGTGGAGAGATAGTGGTAGAGCCATTTCGTTGGGCAGGATTAGCAGGCTGTCATCGGTAAAAGCAAATGAAGGGAATTTGGCCGGAACACCAAGGTTACACTCCTACTCTTTGACGAGAAGTGCCATGGGATTTTTAATGACCACAGAGAGTCAGGACCTCGGTTTAACGTCTCATCCGAAGGACGAATTCTAAAATGTAAAATGACTGACAAAAATGTAAATAAAGAAAAGGCTGAATTAATTAAAAGGAATATTAAAAACTAATCAAATGACAAATGCCGTAAGAAAAGTACTCAAAAAACCTAAAATAAATATATTTTTTTAAAAGTGCTAATTGTGAAATTTATAATGAGCTATTTTAATATACAAATAACCATACAGAAAAAAAATCAGATCAAGATTTCAACAAATTTATTTTGTATTTTGACATACTTTTACAGTAATACCTGTTATTATTTGGAGAGCTGGAGGTAGTTAGAGGCCTCTAAATGGTTATTTTGTGCCCCAAATGGTTAATCTGGCCTTGGCATCAGCAGGCATCAATTCCATTTGAACCAATTAGTCGCTAAACACTATCTTGCGCTGAGAGTGCCATTCAGAGAATGACGAAATTGTAGGCTGGAGTGAGTGAAGACAGAAAGCGTAAGTGAGAGAAGAGACCGATGGAGAACTGTTCGACACTTCCAGAAGAATCCTCCACATGACGCTTCTAGTTGATGACCTTCCAGTAATGATGGACATCACTTTAAACCTGAGGGCTTCTCCAGCCAGAGGGACGTTATCGACACAACAGGGACCACCATTATTAGGCATAAATGGCATGGTGTGATATCGAAATGATTTGAAGCCATTAGTTTTAATGGTATATCTACTGTTGAACATGCAGGGGAATGGCCATAGGGAATGACCTTTCAGCCTCATATCTGACAGCTGAGAGAGCACTTTACCTTTCAGTAGGATATCCTGCTTAAATTTTTCCGTGACTGGTACTAAAATACAGCATGTGGAGGATTTTGCACATGATTAATGATCCCATTCAAACTAAGCCTTCACAGCGATTATGATCCCATAAATAAGAGGCTAGTGGCAAGCTGAAAACAATTTGAGCAGAGAAAAGTCAAATATCAGCCAACGCCAGTAAATCCAGCCTTTAATATTTGAGTGATTTAAAGGACAGTTCACTGAAAAATTATAATATATCTAGGATTTGCTCACCCCCACTTGTTCAGATCTAAACCTGTTTGCATTTTTGTTGTTGAAGCAAAAAAGAAGACATTTTAAAGAAGATTGTAAACTGGCAGACAATGTCTTCATCCCTACTATTGATGTCAACTGCTGTTTGCAATGCTCTTCCAAATGTGAAAACTTGCTCGTTTTTTTTGTAACTTGAAATCCTTTAAAAACCACTTAGTTCATTGTTGTAGTGTATCTTTGCATATTTGCTGATTGGAAAACCTGTTTCGGACTGCTGACTTGAAGTGAACGTGACATATCTATAGCTTGTGATATGTGAAATTGTGGCGTGTGTAAAGCTTTTATATAAAACTGTATCACTTTTCTGTTGGTCTGAAACCAAACAAACCAAGAGAACTGAACTTCAACTGTGAATGCAGTTTTTAATGTCAGCATAGTTAGTCAAATTAATGACAGGCATTATAAGCACAGCTGATGCTGCTGGTCTTTGGCCACATTGTACTTTAGAGATGAAACGCTTCACTTCAAAGGGTTAGTCTGAGCCAAAATGAAAATGCCGCCTCATGTCATTCCAAACCATAAGACATTAATGAATCTTTTTTTTTAAATCAAGTTTGAAAGGTTTTCATTGAAATTTGGTTTAGGCAAATCCCGGATGCTTCA